AAGAAGTCCCTCCCGGTTGCCAGCTGATCCCTGCTGGGTATGCAGGTGGTGAAGGCCCAGCGTTTCCTTCTGTTCTCTACGTGGCTACCCTCAGTTTCTGTGTTCCCCTCCTATGATATTATCCAGTACTTTCCTTTAGTTATTTTCATTAAAATATAGTTGCTTGCTCCTTGCTTGGCTGTCTGTGTGGTGGGGATGAGCACTGGGGGCTTCCAGTTGGCCATCTTGCTGATGTCACTCGCGTATTTTCTTCTTTTTTAATGGGAGATATTACAGCACTTTGGAATGTGAATGAAAATGACCTAGTAGAGATAGATTTATGCTGCAGGAGAGATGGGGATAAATGCAAAAGCAGTTCAAGCAACTGTGAACTATTGAGAAGGGACTCCATCCACATCGCAGGTGGAGGGCTTAGCTTTAGATAGGAACACACAGAGGTTATCAATGCTACCCGGAGAAGGCAGATTATCTAGGTATAAATGGGGGTGATTTTGGAGATTTGGCAGGGTGACAGTGAGGGCTTCTGAGGACGTATTTTTGCAGTGAAATCTAAGTGGGCTGATGGTGAGGAAGAAGAGGGGGGTGGAGATGGGAGGGTTGAGGAGAGACAAGGAAGGTACAAAGCGGTTTTCTTCAAGAGTGAAAGTTGCTTAACACAATCACTTTGAAAGCTTATCCTGCAGGTGTTATTTTTTCATACAACTTGAGGCAAATATTTCGACAATTGTGGAAGGATAGAGATAAGAATTTTGGAAGACCATTCAAAAGACACAGACTTCTGATACATCCTTCTCATCCAATACAAACGTCCCTCCCATTAGATGGTCAAAAGTACCAGTAAATCCAAGATAAATGTCAAGAGTACCAGTAAACTTAACATTTTCTGCCATGAATTATTGCCAAGATGGGAAATGGCAGGCATGACCCAATTTTCCCCATTAATAAAAAGGTTATACCAACATTTTATTTTCAACTTCCATTTAAGAGTTCTTAATCAGGGAAGGCAAGTGACATGGGAACTAATCCCTAAAGCTCCATCACCCTCAGTAGCATTTTAATAGAATTTTTCTCTTTAATTTGGTACTTCATATAAGAAAAAAGCTGTGAGGCAAAAAGCAAGGAAGTTAGAGCTAAGAATTTAGTGGAAAAGGGGGTAAAAAAGCAAAGACAAGGTATATATTCTTAGATGCTAGGAACATGACCACTTCTAAGCAGTAAGGAATTATTCAAAGTTTCTACCAATTAATCCTCCAAGAAATGCTAATATTAAAAAAATTCTTTTT